TTTAGTTGGTTTCCACAAAGAACAACAAAAATAACTTTGTTTGCGATGATTGATCAGACAGGATAGGCCAGCCTTCTAAATCAAACCATATAAAAACATTGAAAATACTATGAAATGATGTTTCCCTAGGTAAAACAAACCCATCCACTATAACGGAAGCACAAATACGAGGCAAAAACATTACCAACTTCCACTACCAAAACAATGTTGAAACTACCCAAATTTCAAACCACCACTAACTGGAACTCATCAAAGTACCACTTAATTATTGTCGGTTACATACCACCAATCATGTTTCAACAACACCAAATATTTTAAAATATTTTAGCATTGTAGTGGTAATTAGTGAAATGAAGACAAAGAACCAAGTTTTTGTTTTATTTAATAGTCCAAACGGTAGGATATTGTCCATGTGCATGATTATGATTAACCCAACAATTATTATTTAAGGATGATATTTTGGTATTTTAAAACACTAGGAGTATATGTATACATATAAAAAATTGAATATTTAATATGCAAAATTAGAAGATTTGTGGTATCATGATGAAAACACTGCTTTCATAATGAAAATAAAATCTAGTGTCAAAAAAATTAACATTAGTGGATGATTTTCTAGTTCGTATTAGATTTAGCATATCAAAAAAACAAATACTAACGACTCAAAATTTTCATCAAATTATAAAAATCATGATAATAGTACATTTAATGTCCTATGCAAAATAATTTTTTAGTGGAAACGATTCAAATGGTGTGTGCACATATGTAGAAAAAATAAGCTAAAGCAATAGTGCCTAAAATATTAAGCGGTCACAAGAAAAAATATTTTGTTTTCATAAGCATAATTAAATTGGTTATTTAGCGAGAAGAATGTTAATAGAGGTAAGAAAAACCCACCAAAATGAAATTCAACTTGGCAATTCATGTATCAAAAAATAGAAACTCATCCGTGTAAGGTGGCATTATGTTTTACTTTCTCTCAAAATACTTGCCCAAAAAAAAAAAGAAAAAAGATACAATTTCCAGTTTTCTTGTCTTCAAGAGAACAAATAAACAGAGTAAATTGCAAGTACTTTTATATAAATCTACAAGAACTTTATGTTGCCTTTTAAGGATTTCTAAAGACGAGGTATCTTATCTTTAATAAAATGATTTGTTGAGATGAAAAGTCTGACATGCGTGTATGCATTGTTATTCCAAAGCATATCAAGCACATGCTTTACTACAAATATGTTCGGATCAAGAGTACTAAAACTTGTTGTTCTCAACCTTGGCCTTAAAAATGTACTTCTGAAGAATATTTTTTCTAGCTTCAGATTGATCATTAACTTGATTTAACAAGTTACGAGTCAAAATACACAATGAGATACTTAACTCCGACTCTAACGACAAATCATAAGCCGACAATCAGCATTTTATATTGCTTAGCTATTAGTGATCTAGAAGCAGATCTTGAATGCATGACAAAGATAAATTCTTGTTAGACTCCTCAACTCCATGCCAATGCCTATTCCATATTTTCTACGGCTTTGTAAATGAACAAAATTCATAAGACATCATCTGCAATAGTTTCTTCTTGTTTGGCACTAAATTTACAAAAATCAACAAAAAAACTCTACAAACATGTGAGCTTTAATAGTTGTTCTAGGTGTATAACAAATATTGAAATCACTAAGCTCTACACTCCATTTGATTAATTGTTATGAACGATCCAATTCAACGAGTATTGCTTTTAATGGATGGCCGATGACTACATGCACTAAGTATGTTTAAAGTATGGTCTGGGCCTCTTAACTATCACAATTAAAACTCAAGCAATCATTTCCATGGTTGGATACCTCTATTTAGCACCCCTCCAGATTTAACTAGCATAAAAATTAGATATTGCTTTCTACCTTCCTGTCTAACGAGTACTGAGCTGATAAATTGTTCGCCAAATCCAAGATACAAAAATATTTTTTCTCCAATTTGTGAACTTTGGAGCAATGGTTGTGAAGAGTAAAAACTATTTTAAGTGTATAAACATCTTTTCACAAATGCTTAACATTTCTGATAACTTTGAAGAATGCCAAACACTTGTCTGATATGGAAACGAATATGCTTAGCCTAGCAAATCAACCTGTCAATTTTTATAATTCTTTTAGTATTTCTAGGATAGGGCATAAAACATGTATTTTTGACTATTTTAGATTCATTTTAATGCCTTTTTGTGTAAGCAAGTATCAAAAAATTTGTCTAATCCAGCTCCAAAAGTACATTTCAAATGATCACTTTATATTATATTCCTTTAAGTATTAAAAATTTCTATTAAATCACTTATATGTTATCGAGGTGTTTTACCTCAAGATTTTTTATTCTTTTTGGTTTATAAAAAATCACATTTATCATTCTCTAATAAGTTACTCCTACATTTTTTAAGACAAAAGATGTTGTATTATAAAAATCAAACCATCTGCAATTATAAAGTTCACAATGAATAGGATACATCTTGATTTAATGGTGACCAAAAAATACATAGAAAAATTTATAATAAGATAGTTGACAGAGAAGTCAATAAGAGCATCAATTCGCAACAATGAATACTCCTATTTTGGGCATGCCAAATTCAAGTTAGTAAAATCTACACACATATATCATTTATCATTTGACCTCTATACCATATCATTAGTAGTGCAATCGGGGTATTGGACCACTTTGATGAATCTGTCCTCTAGTAATTTATGTATAATCTAGTAGTTCGCCATGAGGGTTCTACCGACTACTACATACTATATGGATTATCAATCTCTAGTCCATTAGCTTCAATAAAATAATTGGACAAACATCAACTACCAATAACTGAAAGATATTGACCAACTTGACCTCCAATGACTAAAGTTGCTTTGAAGCTGAATAAACGAGAAAACTCTATTCCAGCAACTACATGAGTGGCTAAAACTATCTCATCAATATGAATAACTTGAGCAAGAATGTGCATGGTTCTAGACTCCTCCACAGTTGTCTTCCCTTGTCTCCGCATACTGAACTTGGGGAGAACAAACTTCATCAATTTATGTAACTTTGATCAACTCTTCCAGAAGGCTTCTAAGATGACAACATTCTTCAGTTTCATGCTTGTGATCTTGATGGTAGACAAAATATTTCTTTGGTCCATAAAAGTGGCCCCCAGCCTTTATTGATGCTAATCTTTGAAATAATCTTTATTTTGATTGTCCTTAATCAGTTTGGCCATTGAAACTCTCAAACGAATTAAAATATGAATTAGAATATGATATGATAGGTAATTGAGACACGTCCCTTCAGCGATCATCACACTAGCAATCATGTCTTGCTCGCCCATCAAAAGGACTAGATTGTCTCTTCTTGAAGAATGTTCTCTGTGTCATGCTCTTCAGAGTGGCTAGTTTGATTTTTAGAAAAAATGCCTTTTTCTTTTTTTTTTTGAGATGGATCTTATATCCTCTCCTTATAAAAGATGAACCCAACTCATAATTGTACTCTTCAAAATAACATGTTTGGAATTTTCGACTGCAAAATACCTAATACAAAATGGATCTTCACTCAGGCGTCGTGCGAAGGCAGCATAAGCTATAGCAAGTTCTAAATCTTTTAAAACAAACATTTCCTTCTAAAAATAGGTATCAAAACTCCTTAAAGACTTGAATGATTCTTGTCGTACTTGTAATAAATAATCCAAAATTTAATAATAGTTTATTTACACTTACAAACTAAGTGATGAACATCCTTTTAAATTCATAAGAAAAAAGATTATTACCCCAAATGAAAGGCGACTAAATCAGCGAAGGGCTGACTTATTTAAAATCATAAAAAATAGACAGTACTTCAATGTATCATTAATATCTTTCAATAAAACAACCAGTTAAAAACTAGCAATACGATCAATTCAACCAGATCTTCCTTTGTAAGATTTAAGTGATGGAAACTTAAATTTTTTGAGAACATGAGGTTCTAAAGTATCCCTAGAAAAAGTATGCTTACAATTTCACAATTTCATCTTCACCCTTCGATGATAGATGTGAAATATAATTCCTCACTAACTAAACAAACAAGTTTCATATTCAGCAGGGGTAGAGAGGATTGCTCCGTCAACAAAAGGTCTCTTTTTGTAATCACATGGCTCAAATTGCAACTCTACACCCTTGGAATACATTCCAATGCTCCTTGAATCATTATTTTCATCCTATTCTCAATTTTTGTTAGTTGTTGTATGATAGCAATTTCTTAATTGCTCTCCATATTTAACTGATTCTTCTTTGTTAATTCTTACTTCACGAAATATTTCTTTTTAAATTGATGGCATGATTCGCGTTCGCCACACAATTGAGAATGTTGAATTATAAAATTTTTATGATCTCATCACCCAAAATAAAATAGTTCAAAAGGGGAAAGATATAGAGAAGAGGGAGTAAGAGCAAAAGAACAACAGAGAAAGTCTCATATTTAATCGATTAAGATTAAAAGATATAGAGATAGATTGTTCTAGAGATTTATAAGTTTAGGTTGGCATTCAACCTATTGCATAATAAACTACATAGAAGAAAAGTCCAAAAGATATGATTTTATAGTGTGGCCTTGATAGCTTCACAAATTTCTCAACAAAGGAAATCAACTTTTTATAAGGAGCGTGCACTTCGATGCATGCCAAACTAATCAAGTTTCTATTCGCTAATGCCAAACTAGCGAAAAGGTATGTCACATGTCAGTTTGGTATAGTAATTTTTGTCTTTTGAATAGGAGAAATCATAAATTAGACGAGTAAGGTAGGTTTGACAAGTTGATTTGGTCAGGTTGTCATGCAAGCTATGTGAACATTTGCATATCCTATCTTAAGTTCAATCTTCGTGTATTGGGATCACATGATGCTACCTTGAATAGAGGTGTTGGATTTTGGCTATACAAACTAAATGAAAGTATGGCAATAAACTTAGAAGAAATATGACAATAAACTTAGAAGAAGTGGAGGCTGATGCATTTACAACCTTGTAATCCAACAGAATATCGGGCATCTTCTTCATCAGCTCTGCAGTATGTGCCCGCCTGGTCAATAAAGAGAAAATGTTTAACAAAAGTAAATCAGCATCCAAAAGTACACCATAGAAAAGCCGAACTACGGAAGTTCCCCAAATGATAACAAAAACAAGCAAGCGATAGAAGAGAAGCAAACGCACTTCTCAGCAGAAACGCGATCGCACTTGTGGCCTTTCCTCTTGTTTCGCATCTCCTTCTTAGGCGGATCGTAAGGCCAGACCCTAAAAACCCAAATGTTGATAAGCAGGTATCATCAAATTCTCAGAGAAGAAAAAAAAAACAAGATAGCGGAGGAAGACGAGGAATTACTCTCCGGCGAGTAGAACCTCCTTGCGGATGGCGGCGCGCTTGCGGGCGGAAAGGGCAAGGGGCTTCCAGGCGCCGAGCTCCCAATAACCCCACACACCTTTAGAGAACTCGTTCTTATAACTGGCCAACTTCTCCTTCCAGGTGAACTGATAGCTCATCGGACCTTCTTGAGTTGTCGCCTTCTTGGCGGGCGCCGCCCCCAACCCC